AATAACAAACTACACACATACTGAATTTAATGTAAAAGCAAATCTAAGGCAACAGAAACGTTGGATGAAGCAAAATCATGCAGACAAACAACGAGGTCACTCCGGGATACTTCAAGGCACCAAACATGGACGGAACATAAACTGTCTAATACCATCATGGAAAGTGAACAACTAGGCAACATAATTCATCCCTAGACAAGTTCATGTGAAGGGGATTAAAGACAGTGAATTTCATATCAAAGTAGCATGAGAAACGAATCCTACACCTTTGGACTCTCAAGCTTTTTCTTCAACTCACCACTTTCTAATCTTGTCTTATTCTAATTTTCCATTACTTTCCAACTCTCACTCAAAAATCTCCCTTTTTGAATTCCCCAGCCACCAAAAGCCATCACCCCTTGAAGCTCACAATCGGTTTCACTTTTGTAAAGAGCCCCCATCTCTCGTATTTATCTCTTTTTTCAAAAAAGAACCACCGAATCCTTTTCTTATTCTGTCTCTAAAGCTCACGGATAGATTTTCCTTAATCAATTGCCAAATGACCGACTTTCTGTTTTTCCTCTCTTATCTCATCCCTGGCCAGCTCACTTGACCCAATCAATCTTTTCAAGCTCCAGATAGCCTTGTTTGTTCTCTCTTTTGGCCATCAACCGAGGGTCCTCTCTGAGTGGGAAAATTGGGCATTGTTGATCTTGCAGAGCATAGCTCAATCACACCAATCCATCGTTATTTCAACTAAATTTTTTTTTTCAATGCTCAAGGCTTCGATACATTTGACATCGAGAAATTTTCTACTGGAGCAAGTGCTATCCGAGAATAGTCCGTGTGGTCAAATATTAGTACAAAAATTGGGTGCCTACAATAATAATTTCAAAGAGAGAAGTACTTGTATCCGTTCAGAAAATCTAAAAACTCATGCAAAGCAAATAGTAAAGAATGCAAAAGTAATTGAAGGCCACCATGGGTCTAGGACAATGAACTTTTAGATGTACAACTTTATAGATCTAGCTTGGCGTTAACGCTCTCGATTTCAAGAAGAGCTCCTTGGAAGAAGAGATATATGCTCTCGTACTACACTTGATGAGGAAGAAAAAGTGACCAGCTTCCCATATCTGATGCATCTCTGAAGGGGTTGTTTGGATAAGTATTAGGAAATATTAAGTATTAACGGATGATATAGATGAATGAGAAGAGAAAGGGGCAAGGAAGAAAATGAATAAATTTATTACCTAAAATATAGAGTAATCCTTGAGGCAATTAGGAAAATTGTAGAAAATAAGGAGAATTCTAGAAAGCCACTTCCACAATAATAGAAGCTATTTCATGAACTTTTAGTAATCCAAATGGCTAAAATTTGAGGAAAATAAAATAGATTAGTTTGTTTGTAATTATATAATAATAGATAGAGGAATGGAGCAAGACAATGCCAACAATAGTAATAGAAGAATCCATTCATACCTAAACAGAATCTTCGATTGACCAGTTGGTCCTGGCCGCTAGTGCCAAGGTCCTAGGTCAACTGTCGGGGTCTTAGGCTTAAGCGTCAGGGTCACGAGGATGACCAGGGATCCCCGGACCAGATTGTCAAGGTTATGAGCCTGACCCTTGGGTCCTAGGTATTTCAAAGTATAATTTTCTTACCGTCTCTCTCACAAAACCTCATAGACAATCTCAATTGGGGCGAAGAGAAGCAAATATACTAACACTAAGCTAGCCCTCGAGGTCCTTGGTGACTCAATTGTCCCATGATTGGTGACGTGTAACTACGGAGGCAGTGAAATTTCATTAATAAGTGTTGCTTGGTAATTCAATTCAAAGTATGAAAATATCTTTCCAAATGAAATCCAAAATTTTGAACCCCCGATTCATTAGGTAATCTGATTCCACAGCCAACAAATAAGACCTAAGTAGAATTCTTTTACTCGTATAAGTGGATATCTATGAATATCTCAAAGCGTCGTTCCACTAACTAGTAAAGCTAGAAACTATTTCCCTCCACTTTCGAAAAAATTCATAAGCTTGACTTAAAGGTCGTCACTCTTCATTTCTTCTTGTGCTAAGAGAAAAACGAAGATGCCTTGTCTCAGGGTGAAGAAAGCCACGTTTAGTGTGCAGAGCGACCGACACTACACTCAAAACGTTTGAACTTGACTTGGATTTGACGCCAGTATGCATTTTTAGGATTTTTTTTCCTGCTAATTATAGAATACATTGTTAGTGCGAGTTTTTTTTTACACAAGTGGCCTTATAGTTACACAACTAACTTAAGAAAGACGTATTATAATCCTAACATTAATTGTAGATAGGTGGATTATGTAAATTTTTTTGTAAACTCGTGGACTCTTTTTCTTTGTACTCATCTCTTCATAATAATTAAGATTCACAAATGACTTGATGTATACAATGATTTCCAAATATGGTTTTGGGAGGGAGAGAGACCTGTGATTGTAGAGGACTTGTCCCGAGGCTCGCACGCAATTCTTTAATCAATCACCAAATGACCAAATGACCCGCTTCAAATCTCCATAGCTCACAGACAGATTTTCGTCTTTTTCCCCTCTTATCTCACCCCTGGCCTGCTCAGTTGACCGAATCAATCTTTTGAAACTCCAGACCGCCTTGTTTGCTCTGTCTTTTGGCCATCGACCGAGGGTCCCTCTGTCAGCGTTTGACCATGTTGGATTTTGTGTAATCCAAATTTCTTGACCGTATTTTGCTCCTTCAAGAACCGATTTTTTTTTCGCAACAGTCCCACTCACTTGGCCGGCCTCGACTCATCTAATCCTCATCTTGAAAGATTTTTATCCAAACTTCCACAATTCTTGGAATCGCGATCCACCTTGTCCGAAACATATCTAACTCCACAGCAAGGAGTTAGGACCAATTCCACTGTCTTGGAGTCAAGACCATCTCCTGCAATCTGGGAGTTGTGTCCAATTGCGCTATCATGAAGTTGAGGCTAACTACCACAATTTTGGAGTTGCGAATTTCAGTTCATCTCGTATGTCGAGTCGTCCATCGGGTCTATTAAAATGAAGAAGTTCGTAGTCGAGCCCCTGTTTTATTCGACGCAAGCAAACTTTGTTTAATTCAAATGCATTGTGTCTGAACATAAATGTGTCTATTTTCTGAATGCAAACTGCAATAAGATGCAAGCGTAGGTATAAAACTAAGCAAATATATTTGTTTAAAGATCCAATTGCACCGCTATCGACGAACACGATTGTTAGTTTGCTCATGAAGTGAATGGAAAGTCTTCAAGAAAAAAATTATGTCGTGGGGTTTGAGATATACACTGCTAAAAAGAAACCACTCAGAGGTTGGGAATGCCATTTCAAGGAAGCCAGCAAAGTTTTTCTGATAAGTGAGCCTATGACCAGAGCACAAGAATCCACCACCCCAAAGTTGTTTCTCCACTACTTTTGTCGGCCACAAAGAAGCTTATGTCCATCAGAGAATCGAGAAAATATTAGGTGAATTGAATACTCCACGTAAGTTATACCATATACCATTCGGCTGATAACACGTGGTGGACAGGGCCCACCGGTCAGATTTTGCAGTCCCCCGTTACTCCACTTTCAGATCTTCTCTCTCCTTTGTGACTCTCTTTCTTCTTTCACTGTTTTCTTCCGTTTCTTTTTGCGTTTCGAGACCATGGACGACGCTCGCGCTTGAATTGCAATGTCACCAGCCAACCATTGACGACCGCTCACGAGCACGCCGACGCTCATCTATGGCCGTTGTTGGCGTCGTTCAGGCATGCTATTGACCCCCTTGGGTATCCATCTTTCCCATCCACCATGGACGACGCTCGCGGCCAGCCATGGACGATGCTCATCCATGTCCATGGTCGTAGTTGGCATCGAGCAACGCCAGACGGGACGGCTCGATCTGGAAGTTTGGCCAGATCTGGAGCCATGGCCGCTCGTTGCTCGCGGCCACAATGCAGAGATTATGGCCCCAAAAATAAAAGAAGAAACAAAAATGAAGCTCTGCTTCTGCATTGTGCGTCCATAATGGCGATGGTGTGCTTCTGGTATGTGTACCAGAAGAAGAAGAAGATGGTGAAAAGTGGGTGAGACGGAGAGGTTAACGGCGGGGAGATAATGTGCAGGGAGAGAAGTAACGGAGAAGAGAGAGAGACAAATGGGAGAGAGTAAAGGTTTATAGGGAGACCCACCTTGCCACGTGGCATTTATTGGATGGAGTGTTAAACCATCTCACGTAGCATATTCATCTCACCTAATATTTTCTCCAGAGAATCGGAATGACGCTGTGGTGAAAATAAGTCCACGTGTTCACACCTATTACATATCTTGGTCCAAGCACCATCATTTTCCAAAGTTCTAATATTATTCTTTATCAACCCTACCCAAAAAAAAGTCATGCATCCACCACCTCAAAGTTGTTTCTCCACTACTTTTGTCGGCCACAAAGAAGCTTGGCCAGAGCTCTCTCAAAGCTCTCTCTCCCCCCTCGACTTCTCTTGGATCCACTTTATAAAACACCTGTAGAACGGTAAGGTTCTTTTGCTCCTTGCACTCCATAATCTTCGCCATCTCTTCCAAGAACCACCGTGAGGAAGCATAATCCTCCGAGAAAATAATGATTGCGATGCATGATTCTTCGATGGCCTTCATAAGCGCCCGTGATATTTGGTCTCCCCTCCTCAGTTCGTCATTATCAATAAAAGTGACTATTCCGTTCACGGTCTAAAGCTTTGTAGAGATGACCAAGGAAGTTGTTGCGCTTGATTACGTGCCTCTGAAACTCAAGAAAACATCGTAAACCTCTTTGCGTTTCGATGAAGAAGCCATTAGATTATGGGGTTTAACAATCAGCAATGACTATAAGCTTCAGATTCGGTAGTATTTTCAGGTAGTCGTTCACCATCCGATCTTCTTGTTGATCTATTATAGATCAACAAGAAGATCGGATGGTGAACGATAGATCAACAAGAAGATCGGATGGTGAACGACTACCTGAAAATACTACCGAATCTGAAGCTTATAGTCATTGCTGATTGTTAAACCCCATAATCTAATGGCTTCTTCATCGAAACGCAAAGAGGTTTACGATGTTTTCTTGAGTTTCAGAGGCACAGAACTGCGCAACAACTTCCTTGGTCATCTCTACAAAGCTTTAGACCAGAACGGAATATTCACTTTTATTGATAATGACGAACTGAGGAGGGGAGACCAAATATCACGGGCGCTTATGAAGGCCATCGAAGAATCATGCATCGCAATCATTGTTTTCTCGGAGGATTATGCTTCCTCACGGTGGTTCTTGGAAGAGATGGCGAAGATTATGGAGTGCAAGGAGCAAAAGAACCTTACCGTTCTACCGGTGTTTTATAAAGTGGATCCAAGAGAAGTCAGAGGGGGGAGAGAGAGCTTTGAGAGAGCTCTGGCCAAGCATGCGTTAAAGTTTGGAAAGGATTCGGAAGAAGTGAAGAGATGGAAGAAAGCTCTCTTCGATGCCGGTAGCTTGTCTAGGTGGCATTTGAACGATGGGTAAGTTAAGTGGAATTCATATTTTGTGAAAGAAACTAATCTTTACAAGTAAATATAAAGATTGTTTGTAAAAAATTAAGAAATAAATGAATCGACACACACAAGGTTTTTAAGTCTAAATGTTAATACTTGATGGACCAATGGAAAAAATGTTGAATGCCGTTATTCCACTTGCCCCATTTCTTTGGATGGAGTAAGAAAGTTCGCAACGCTATATACAGGATAATGAGTGTGTACAAACCATGTAAGTTAAAAACATTGTGCTTCGGATATTTAATAGTTTTCCAATCGAAATCTTAACCACCGTTCAAAGTCCTAAATAGCTCTTTTGATTAGGCATGTAGATAAATCACATATTACAGTCAAGAGGTAAAATAAGTAAATGGTAATGTATAAATCGAAAGAACATGAATCATTTGGATGATTAAAAGTTGAACCTTGAACTTGTTGTGATTGGTGTGGAGCTCTACTCAGTGGGAATACATTTTGTTTTTGCTGTGATCATGTTAAAATGGGACGCACTGCTTTGTCATGTGGCTGGTGATTGCCCGTGATTTGCTTGTTCAAACTACTAAAACAATGCTACAACTTCTTTTTCTATTTTGACAGAGATGAGTCAGAACTTATACAAAGGATTGTGAAGGAGATATCCACTTGCCTAGACCGAACAACTTTGCATGTTGCTAAGCATCCAATTGGGATAGATTCCCGAGTGGTTAAGCTAAAATCGATGTTAAACCTTGAGTCTGATGATGATGTTGTCATGGTGGGATTATTGGGACAAGGAGGCATAAGGAAGACAACTTTAGCAAGAGCTCTATACAATGCTATTTTTAGACAATTTGAGGGTTCGTGTCTTTTGGGAAATGTTCGAGAAGATTCAAAAGATTCGAAGGATTTAGCTTAATTGCAAGAAAAAATACTATTCGAGATTTTGTCACTACAAAAAAGATTAGTAGTGTCCAGTGTTGATAGAGGTATTAATATAATACAACATAGACTTCGTCACTGTGACATTCCGGATTTTGGCCCATTTTTGGGATTTATAAAACGTGTAATTCGTCAGTGCGCTTATAATAAAATCTCGCCCGGAACTGATCACTCCTGGGTTATTGTTTTTAAAATTAGAGATTTCGCTAGAATCACACTTGATCGAATTTGGCCGTTATTTAGACCCCAAACTTGGCAGTCGATTTTCGGGAGTTTCGGGAAGAATTTAATTGGATAGTGTCGATATTATTGTGGCCAGCCTCGAGATTGCCAGGAATAGTGGAAAAGTGAAATTTTGGACCGGGTGCGAATTTGGACCGGTAGACCTCCCTCGTAGTGTGTTTCGAGTTATTTTATTTTGGTCCGTTGTCTTATATTATTGTTTGGGATTTTTCGGGGACAGTTAGATCTTTTTCCGGGTTTGAATCGCAACAGTTAGAATAATATTTAGTTTGAACCGTGTCCGTTGGTTCGCGCTCGAGGATAAATATTAGCTTTTTCTTTCTCTCTCTCCTTTCTCCTCTGCGCCGCGCCACCCACCCCCGTGCAACGTCCCCTCCTGCGCTCGTCTCTCTCTCTCTCTCTCTCTCTCTCTCTCTCCTCTGTGCCGCGTCTGCCCCCCCCTTGCGTGCACGTCCCCTCCCCCATTAAGCCATGCAGACCCATCCCTTCTCTCCTTTCTCTCTCCTCCTTTTTCCTTTTCTTTTCTTTCTTCTCTTCTTCTTCTTCGTCGTTCTCTCCTTGACCGACTGGTTCTGCTCCGCCTCTGCCTTCTGCAACTCGCCGACTGGACTGCCTCGCCGCGCGCTGCCGCTGCTTGTCGGGCCGCCGCGTCGCCGTCCGGCCGTCAGGCACCGCCCGACCGCCGCTCACCGTCCGCCAGCCACCACCCCGGCCCGCGCCTAGTTCGGCACTGTTCACCCGGGCCATTTTAGGCCCGAGCCGATTTTCTCCGGGCCAAAACCAAGTAAGTGACTTCCTAAACCTTACCTAGTACTTTGGGTATTTTTAGACTTGTTTAGGGTGAAATTTAGTACCGGCTTAGGACTTTAATTAGGCGTGGGCTAATTAGACTGATTGTGCTTAATTGGTGAATTATTGTGGCGATAATTGTGCGGCTGATTTAGTGATTGACTGAGATAAATATGCCTGACCGAATTGTCGTGGCGCTTGTGGGTGAATTGGATTAGTTGAATGTGCCGACATGAATGTCGGGTCGGTGGACCGATGTGGGGAGTGTGAATTAAATTGGTTGTTAGAGTGTGTCGATTGACATTGGTGTGAGCTTGGTAATTTGATTGTGAAATGTACGACGTGTTAGATGACAAGATTGTGTGGTGGTGCATGTGCATGAGAGAAATGTCCTGAGGCGTGGTTACGCGGGACTGAGCCCGGCTTGATCTGAGGGCTGCCAACCTGAGGCGTGGTTACGCGGCTGTGGCTAGAAAGGCAAGTAATGACCTGAGGCGTGGTTACGCGGGTCGAGAGAAATGTCCTGAGGCGTGGTTACGCGGGACTGAGCCCGGCTTGATCTGAGGGCTGGCCTGAGGCGTGTTGACGCGGGCCGTGTGAAAGGACCTGGGAGGTCGTGAGAAAGTTGCTCGGCCACGCATGCGAATTGAGTGTGATTGAATTGACTGGTTGAATTAGTTGGAGTGATTGAGTGAAAGCGTGGTTGGTGTTTGAGCGATTTGTGATGTGTTATTTAATTACTATTATTGCCTTATCACGTGACGACTAACGTGTAGAGTTGGCATGGACTTGATGGCGAGGTAAGTATAATGATGCGAATTTTATATGTTATGGGGTAGATTGCATGTCTGACTTGTCTGGGTACGCATTGGCCTACGTGGGGTATAGGGGGTTGCTTATTGAGACTCGTTCTCACGGTTATTATATAACCATTTCAGATCCGCGACCGTAATCGATTCGGAGACGCCGCCAGAGCACCACAGGGATTGAAGAATAGATCATTTACCCTGTCTTTTGAGTACCTTTTGTAGAGGAGATAAGTTTGTCATCCACCGCCCCCTTTTGAAAACTGTGGTTCTAAATTGGCAGCCCGAGTTATCGTTTTGTATAGTGACTACTTTATGATGGTATGCAATTATTGTTTCGTACTATCCCTTTGTCATTGTTTATTGTCTGGGTTAATTAGTTTCGCTTCCGCTTGCTTTTATTGTTGGGTGTTTCGTTTAGGTCGGCGACGCGTCCTGGGACGTCGCGTTCAATGATCGACCATCGAGGGATGACCGCGCGCTCGTAGGGTGCGGGGCGTGACAGTCACAAGAAAGTTCTCCTCGTCCTTGATGATGTGGATGACTTGCGCCAGTTAAATGCTTTAGCAGGAGAAGGCAAGTGGTTTGGTAATGGAAGTAGGATTATTGTTACTACAAGAGATAAACATTTGCTAACTTGTCATGGGATTGATCAAGATCACGTGTATGAAGTTGAAGCACTCGATGACAGCGAAGCTCGCGAGCTACTTAGCAATCATGCTTTTCCAACACACCAAAAATTAGAAATTATGACAGATTTGGTAGATAGTGTTCTAAATCATGCTAGAGGCCTTCCTTTAGCACTTGAGGTGCTGGGTTCCTTCTTATGTGGTAGAAGAGAAGATGAATGGGAAAGTACATTACATAAACTTTCTAGGTTTCCCAACAAAACCATTAATGATGTACTCAAAATAAGTTATAATGGACTAGAGGAAAATGAGAAAGAGATTTTTCTCCACATTGCTTGCTTCTTTAAGGGAAAGGATAGTAATTCTTATCCATACAAGTCTTAGCCGTGTATAAAATTCTTCATCAATGTCTTTCTCAAGGAATCATACCATTCAAAGAATTGCAATCCATGGTGATTCGTTTATGTTTTGAAATCGTGTTCTGAAATTATCTATGCATGTTTAGAAAATGATCAATCAATCATTGCATATAAAATTTGAAATTGTTTGACATCATGATTTTAAACTCAAATGGGAATCTAAATCATCCAATCCTAGTCTTCTTACTAGCTAAGATAGCTTCCATCTTTTGGTATTCTTCCCATTCCTTGGCTCGAGAATTTTATTTTTCTACATTGATCACGACCTCTTTAGGGATGTAGGGTTCCACTCTAGGCATGCTTGGAACAATGTATTTTGGAACATACTCATCTACAGGATCTGGTACCATGCTTAACGGGACATATGGCTCGACATCAATTGGACGCTTATTTTCTATCCATTTGATGTATTCTTTAGAGGCCATGCGAATTTTCATGTCTTCTTCCAAGCTTTTTGGCCACTCGATTATTTGTTCGAGTGGGTTATCCAAAGATAAGATGATCTTGTGAATTTTGGCTTGAAGAATATTCTTCTCCTCTTCGAGTATAATTCCATTTGGGATGTCAAAGGCGAACTCTTTGGGAGTCCATACCGGTGGTACTTGCTGAAGTATCTCAAATTATCTAATAACCCTTAGAGGGTAATAAGCTGCTCCTCCACTTAAACCAAGCAATGATACCGCATTTCCCTCTCGGCTTGTGATTTTTGCCTTGCTAATATTTGGCCAATTGATTCGCCATTGGATTTGATCAGGAGTCAGGGCTCTAATGAAATTGGCCCAATCTAAGAAAGATTGTTTGGGTAATTTGCTTTGGAGACGAATATATCGTTCAATTGGATTTATCGCTGAACAAATTTCGTGAATGTTCATGAAACGACACCAAGGTCGAATGTGTGAGATGAACCATAATGACAAAAGGCCAGTAAAAGCTTGCAAGATACCCCTTCCACGATTTTGGTATGTGTTTAAGGAAATGACGATTTGGGCAAGAAGCATATTAGAGAAATCCCACTTAAGACAAGCTTGTCTTGCGATTACAACTACTAAAGGGTCTAATCCTGTTCTCGACACGGAATAGAATAAAGCCGAAGAAAGCTAGAATGAATACCTGGGCTGAAGTGTTTCCCATTTCCCTAGGAAGTTTTGAAAAGTTGTCTACTAGGAAGGATAATGGAAATCTACCCGTGTTTGATTTGATTAACTTTTCGATTTTAGAAGTTTTGAGATCGAGGAATTCGGTTAAAAGGCTCACAGAATTAAGTCCAACAGGTGGCTCTACAGCCTTAGATTTATAATTAATTCTAATGTTGGTATCAATTCATGTTCTCCAAGTTGGAACGTGGCGGTAGAAACTTCCCAAAAATGCGCCAAAGCTTAGACTAAACTGACTTAATGCTTCCTATGCATAAGTTCGAGAAGATATCCAAGCCTTTCTTAGACATAAGTTTGGTTGTCCTTCGACATGCCTTTCCACCAAGCAACGAGTTCCTTCTGAGGAATGGGAATTACTTGGATGTCTAGTTTTTCCATTGAGCCTAATCATGCAAAAAGATTTGTTATTAATCACCATGGATTACGAATCAATTTAAATGCCTCCATTTCAATCATATGTTCTTTTGAGGTAAAATAGAGGTAAAGTACACTTGCATGCCTCGAAAATAATGCAAATGTCATTTTGAGTCCGTTTAAACCTTAAAAGAGCACATAGTTGAGATTATGGACAAATTCAACGTGTGATGTAAATGCCCATTCTGTCATACTCCATTTAGACCATAAAGTCCTAAACTATGATTTACAACTTCGAATACACTGAAATGAATAAATAAGCACTTGAATTACATGGAACAACCGCCATGGACCTATACATTTCATCTAAAAATGAAAGAATGGTTAAATGGAGTATGACGCCCTAATTATGCATTCTAAAATGAAAGGGCATTTAGACCAAGTATTGAATGTCATTTAGGCATTTTTTTTTGAAAATGTGCTAACTAACATGCATAATTATAAAAGAATAGAATGGAACGATACTTGCTTACCATGATATTTTTGTTTGGTTTTAGGTATACCAACCACAAAGATAAGCGAATGCAACCAATGAAGTTTTGACGCTTAAAAGGGTAAAATATGCTAAAAGCTCAAAGTCACCGCCTT